TACACCAAAGACATAATAGAGTTGAGCGCAAAAGCGGCGAAGAAAGTGGCTAAAAACAGCTTGATTATTGTCATTTATCGTTCGGAATGCGCAGCGTTTGTCAATGTCTAGATCTATGCGTTTTGATATCATGAGAATATAATCAAATTTGAATGATCTTATTGCAACAGTGCAATTTTCTATTCCCATAGAGATAATATTTACTTGCATTATCTTACAAGTTGCAGTTCTTGGCCGATGTAGATATCAGTTTAGTAGTTCCGTTATACCATCATCAAGTTTAGCTAACAATACTCTTACTTTGTTGCAACGTCCTTCTTCCGCTCTTAATTCTACTGTTTAACGTTTTCAAAACTCTCATCCAAGCAAGAGAAACGCCTGCTACTGGCACTTATTAATGTAGCATTGCAGCATCTTCCATTATACTTGATAAACACAACCAAGCAACAATACCACAACAACAAGAGAAACAACAAGGAAATTATCCGTTGTTAATTGATGGTAAATGCATTTTATGAGAGCAACAAACAAACTAAACACACAACGGTGCATGCTACCACTTCATTTGCAACCGATTATTAATTACTTTCTTTTCACTTATGTGTAGGTACATTTCTATTCATATTTCTTCATTTCTTCATTCAAGTACTCGTAATAATGTATTATATTGTTTTTTTTTTTGCTGCTAAACTTTTACTTTTACTCTATACAGATTATTATTTATTATTCGTTTTCCTTATTACATTTTTTGTTGCTTTATCGTTTAAATAAATAAATAGCTTATTATAATAATAAGTTATGAAATATTCACCTTACGTATTAAAAGTTGATCTCGTTCTCACATGCTACAGATATTCAGTAGGTGGAAGTTTTATAGCTTACAAACATTAACGATCGAGGAATTCGGCGTGTGGGTTTCCACGTTTCCCAATAAACCAATACAGAAACGACTTGTCCTCTAACCACAAGTGCTGTACATACAATAAACATTGATTACACAATATCATAGATATGATTACAGCATTTTTAAATTATTTCGGAAATCAGCTGATGTAATCATAGAAAATATTAATATTTTTCTATTTATAAATAAAAAAAAGGAAAAATTCAATTGTTTATTACTAAATAATTTAAGAGTAATTTAAATATTTTTATTCCTTTTAAAATAATTATGGCATGTATGTAAAAGAGTAATTATTTCACATCAACGCATTTAAATAATTCTAAGAAGCAGACTTCCGAACGATGCCTTGTGCATACATAAAATAACTAAAACAACACTCAGGTGAACCAAGCAACTCGACCACATTCTACTTAAGGTTACACCCAGCTATGGCATTACAAAACAATTGTGAGAACGCACCAAGCGACTAATCGCCATTCATTCATCCGGCGTAATTTTAATCTTATGCATTTAAGTGATTCTAAAGTCGCACGTCCTTGAACATGTCTAGAATTATATTCCACCCGAGTATTTATAGCGAAATCACATGTCTACAGAAAAATTCACACTGATAATATTTACTAATGACAATTTCCGCAAATTTAAGCTAAGCCACGCATTGCTTTATTAAACTGATTAGTGCTCATAGACTTGATTCGTTATCACATCGCATACTCAATTCACACTCACAGACGAAAAGGAAAGTCTCAATTTAATTCAATAATCGTATTATATGCGTGCATGCTACGCAATGAATCAAATTCAAACGCCAACGCAGAACCGTCACTATTACACGAGCAAATCATAAGCACCGACACTGTGCACGTTTTAATATTGCTTATATGGTTATTATAAATCAGGTCCTGCAAGTGAAAATTTCTACATGGTAGTATAAAGTATGAGTTATGATCTGCTATTGCAACTCGTCGCTGTTGCAACAAAACTAATTTGCTTATTTGCCTATTATAATAAATGAACGGGAGAGTTGACAGCGCGCGCTGCATGAGCGTGGTGTGGCGACTATCACTATGATTACCAACCGCTATAATTCATTGTAATTGAAATAATGTCAGTGTATTATAATGCAGTGTGAGTACGATGTCCTATTTTTTACGTTCCAGTGCATTCAAAGGTATTTATTTCGCTCAGACTAAACAAAACATAAAAAATTCCAAGAAAAATACGTTTTCAGGAAAATTTCCTATTTCTACATTGAACACAATAAAAATCTTATTTTTTTTCTTCGATGATAATTTGTTGAAGAAAATAACTTCAAATCACATGATTGATAGCTTAACATTTATTTTTAACTTTCAAGATCAATTTCAAGTGTTTTAGGAGGAAAAGTGTCAATTGGTCAAGTTAATGGCGTTAATATAAATAAATGCCACCATAAAGTATCAAAAACACGCTTTTTGTTAACTACGACTTGTTTGCCGTGTCCACAGCGATTTAAAACAGTGCAAAACGAATAAAAGCAGGAATTTTATCCCGGCAATGGCAGTTCTCAGGATTGTGAGGTGTACGTGCAAAAAATGCGATTCAAGGTAATCGAGCACAGGAACTGTACGCATTACAATTACCTGCACATTGAATTACGAGCATCGACGACAATGCCACCGCAATTAATACGCCACACGAGCATCGGCCGCAGACGCATAAATAATTGTGATTAATTATCACAACACGTTTCTGATTAACAAATTTTAATTACGTAAGTCATTTTTTTTTCGTGGAATATCAATTAAAAATAGTGTTACGAGATCTAAACAAACAGAAATATACCGATTTTCTTTAAAAATCACGTGTAAAGTTGTAAAATCAATAAAATAAACTTGAACAAATAATATTTAACAATGAAGCGATGAGTAATATGAATCTGATACACTGCATCATTTGCATATTAAAGTGCATATAAATTCAAGCATTACAACCGGAAATGGTAATTAGCGGTCGCTCCAAACTGTAATATATACAGGATCGGATTAATTGAAATTTAAAAAAGTATTCTCTTTATCAATGACTAAAAATTAAAACAAAACTAAAAATTATTCATCATAATTTTACTAAAAATATACTGAATATTTAAATTCACCCCTGGATAATACACACAGTTATATATAATTGCATGTGCACTCCACCATCAGCTAAATCGACCGAAAGTGCTTAACTCTGCCGGTTTCAAACAGAACACCCACCCGCACACCCTGAGCTTCTTTAAACAAGGAAACACATTCAATTTCCTGTAGAAAATTATTCGTTTTCATACCCTTCGTACGTGCCGCAGCGAAACATATGCGTTACACATGATGTTTTTCCTCCGCGCCAGCGCTGATAAATCAAATTGCGATTGTAAATTGTACATTATGTACGCTTTACTTCGCCATCAAGGTGCAGTACGTAGAGTATTAAAGACCCTTCCGCACGTTGAATATTTCGCCCACGCCTAAAACCTCCTCATAATGAAATATTACGTACGTCATGAAAAAAAAAACGCCGCTTCGAAAAATTATTGGCTTCGTTCATTAACTTCCTTCGGCATTGTGAATATGCCGGACATAAATTTCTATTGTGTGCTCGATATTTACGATATTCAACTTCCGAACAGCATACACATGATTGCGTACTAAATTCGTAAATATGAGAGCATCCCAATGAAAAAAAAAGCACTTAAACATAAACCGTGTACAATTTCGATGATTAACCTGGTTACGGAAAAAGTTAAAGTGCGGTTGTCGGCTGTCGCAAACGAAGCATTAAAGCACGAGTCATTAGTTTTAATCGATGGTTACATAAAATCGCCCGTAAACTACAAGAAAAGCGTCGACGCAGTGCGATAATAAAAAAAAAAACAACCACGAACACACAGTGCATAACCTTGTAAACAAGTAAAATTTATGTACTTTAATTTCCCATACTACACCTACGAGTACATCAACGATTATTTTAAATTTTTAAACTTTTTGATTGATTATTATTATTTCGTACCTTCCTTCCGCGTTGAAGTTTTCTTATCGTCTCGTTTCGTTTTGCTTTATAACTTTTTATGGGCATAAACTTTGCGTAAAGCAAACACGGCGTAATATTCGGCGAGGAATTCGTGGGGCGCGATTTTTATTCGAGTTTTTTTATTATTTTTTATTTGAATTATAGGCACGCGGCTGCACTCGACTTCAAAACGCAAGTCGATGATCTTTAATGTAATCGCATCATGGACCCAGCGCGGAGAAAAATATGAACTTGCTGTGCGAAGAGTCGTAAAAAATCACAACCCCAACGCCAACGAGCGGGAATCACCCCAATAACGTTTTTGCATTATTATCGTTAGTGCCCGGCAAGTATTCAAACTATTCGAAAATATTCCGACTGAAAGAAATTTCCAAGGGTGCACGCACACAAAGTGTGCATCATGCAGGAATTCAATGCGATTATTAAAATATTTTTGCGCCCCCCTTATTCAAAAACTAACAGGGATGCCGAGAAAATGCTCTATAAAATAAACCGGTACATTCTGGAAGCGTCAAAGAAATAATGAAGTACGCGCCAAGAAAGTTTTGCAAAACAAAAGTTTTGAAATTTCGAAATTCGAGCCGAAACATCAAATTCGCTTGTAGTCGAATTCGAACATCTTGGTCTAAGAATAGACGCACTTTGCAATCGTCTCTGCCCTTTACGCCGCCAAAACTTTCCAAGCTGGAGTTTTGAGCGAATCCTGCGTCGCCTGCGTACCAAGGTACAATATAAAAGTTATGATGTACTGAGTGGTTGCACTCAGCGCTATTATTTTCCGCAATATATAATATCAGACGAGGGGTGAAAAGAAACGCACCCCCGGCATGCCGCAGATAACTCGGCCGACTTTTACTTTACTTATAACGCGACGAAAGTACAATAGAGTTAAAAGCAGTGGGAATAACTTAGGCGACAACTACATATTTATATACAAAGTGTTTCAATATAAAAAATTTCAAGAAAAAACTAAATTTTATTATGTTTAAAATATTATTGGAACATTTTGTATATAACGCTTTTTGATATAAACGTTGAAAACACTTACATAATCGTCCGAAGGAATGCGACAGTCTTTTCCTGAGTTTCTGCATCTTGGAGGACAAAGCGCCACTTTTCTTCTCCCTCATGGTAACACCGGAGGGAAGGCCGACTGTAACAGAGCAAAACAAACGTTTCTTTTAGTTGGCGTTCCACGAGGCTAAATAAAATGTATACGGGCGATGAATACAGAGAAAAAAGCTTTACTCAAGAGCTGAAAATCAGCTTGGTGCAAGTCTAGCGGAGCCAAAACAAAGAAAAACACAAACGCAATCGCAAAGGAGAAAAAATAAAAATACAAAAAAATATGGAAAATATCGAGTATAAAAATCACATTTTAAGGTCGCTTTCATGTCCCTTAGGGGGAATATTTAGCCTCGAAACAAAAACAAGAAAATCAAAAGAAGATCAAAGAATTTTTGTTATTTAAACTGTAAAACAAACATATAACTCCAAATAAATGAATTATTTATACAAAAACTCAGATAATTGAAAAATCAAGCACAATTAGCTGTTTCACGAATTGTGACAATACAGAGTCATATGCTGCGCACATGACGCGACATTTTCGGCATAAATACTTAGTGTCCGCCGCGTGATAATTTGATTCGCGACCAAACGAATCCAGCCGTCACAGCGTTCTTTTGATCACTTGTTAATTGTTAGCTTGTGCTGGTGTTTAAAGCATTCCCGACGACATTGTCGCATTGTGTTGCATTCGCTAACCGGATTACAAGGCGTTTGCTCTCCGCCAGTGTCACACTCGAAACTCGACTCATTTGTGCGCGCCTGATGCGTTAATGACTTGATGATTTCATGCCGGCTGCAATTGACTTTTCCCACACGCTGACGCAGAGTGCACGAGCACATCTTGCCCACAAATTCTATTCCATCCATCTAGAAATTTGTTTGGTATACATGTCACTCGATTCTATTTTCTAAAGTCTTCGTATAAATACTTCTTTGTGTGTGGCTGCCTCATCATCTGTTAATGCTTCTGTATTTTTTATCGCAACTGGTTCGTTGACACGCAAACTTGTTTGAAAATTAACTATATAGCTGAATTAAAGCTTGACTGGTGCATTGTGGTAAAGTGAATGTTTTGTTCTCATACTCATGTGCGCGCTTGCATTCATTCAATTGATCATCAGATGTTGCTCATCGCTTTAAACTTGTAAAACGATCGCATTGTTTTATGGTCGGCTGTCGGCCTGTTTACGGCGTTATTCACATATTGTTTGCATCCGGCTGGCGCACTATTTGAAATTAACAAGATTTTGATCTTGTTATTTTTTCTCACCGGCGAGATATTGAAATTTTTGAAGTGAATTTGTTTTTGTTTGCCTTCTTCCGCATCAGAGCGAGATTAAAATTGAAAGAAACAACGCATTTGTAGTGCAGGAGCTCCGCCCAGTCCTAACTGCGCATGCGTAGAACGGAATTCAGTGACTTTTCACACATTTTTTCGTGGTTTCGTACACATTCATGTGGTTAACATTCATTCCGATAAGATTGTGAAACGGACGAATTGATGTTAATATGTTGCGACTATGCTATTTCAATATTTAACCATTTGTCGATTAACAACTTTTCATTTACTCACGCTTGAGGCATACCAACAATATTTGAAGAATGCATTCCATGTCAATCATACACAAGCCGAAATTTATACTCGAAATTGTTTTAATTTGAAATTTGCTGACTTTTGGATAATTTACTGCTGTGCACGCGTTGTTTTTGCTTAGACTGCAGTTTATTTTATGTCATAATACGAACTTTATGAATTTTACATTCCGAAAATGTCTAAATTAAAATCTTTACGATCACATCGTATGCACAACATGAGAAAAAGTAGTAAATACTGAAATTGCACTTGCATGTACAAAATGGACATAAATCTTGAGAGTTCCCAATAATTTCATAAGAGACATCCCACATCCACATCCAATTTGGTTGCTTTAAACTTTATTAGAAATCTGTGGGCTGAAAGCATACACTTACTAAATTAAAAATACTTAATTTAATTTGCGGGACATGGATAAATGCACTCCTCGCTTGTATAATGCAAGCGCATAAATTCACTAAAAATACAATAAACAATAGAAAAGCGGCTGAATTCGTATCCGTTTATTGACTTTCTTCAACTTTGTACTGCGCACAGAAATAACACACTTGTACTAGTACTGGTACAAAACGTTACGACTCGCAATGAATAATTTATTGCGACAAAATTTATTATCTTCGGGAAATTTAAATGCTATAAATAATCGATAAAACTGCATGTAAGCGTTGTTGAAAAGACAATGCATTGCATAACAAAAGTGCATTTAATTTACCTACTTGAATATAATTAGAAAATAACAAAAACTTACTGAAAGACTTATTTAAGTTTGTTTGTAGACTTTTCACCGGAAAACTTCTGAATGAATTTTTGTGAATTTTGAAATATGGGAAAATTAAACTTTGGAAAAGAACATAGGCGACTTTTTGTCCCAAAAATCAATTTTGAAGATTCAATATAAAAGAAAAGTTTTACGAAAAATCACTGTTTTCCTAACAAATATACTCATTATAAATGCAAATATGAGTTTTCCTGTTTATTTGTATGTTTCCACACTAAAATCATTGAATGATTTTTAATATATTTTGGTATAGAGATAGTTTTGATCAAGGAAATGCAAATAGGCAACTTTTTATCGCAAAAACGTAACATGAAATGTTTAAAATAAGAACTCAAATTTACAATGACGAATCATGACGCAAAAGTGCATTATGAACATTTCTCATTTCTTTAAATAAAAATTGATAAACAAACTTAAATAATAAAAATTTATATTTTACTACAAGACACATATTTACTGTAAATTCACAAAATAAACTTCTTAAAATCTTATTTTGCGCACTTAAAATAATAATTTTCTTCAGAAGTAAATTACTTCCGAGCAAAGCTCGCACAGATTACTACACAACATAAACAAAACAAACCATTTTATTTTTTGTGTCAACCGGGAGTCATGGACAAGTAGAGACAGTCCAAAGACTTTTTTTATTTAGTATCCATAGTTATTAATTGCATTTGACCTCCGCGACAGCATTACACATCACTTACACACTTCTATTTCCTATCCAACACACATCCCGAGACCTAAATAATCGCCGTATCAAACAGAAGCGACCACCGAGGCGACGGCCACAAAACGATATCCGTTTTATTTAATGCTTGGAGGACAAAGCTTGTTTTGATATGTTTCTTTTTTTAATATAAAATGACAGCCAGGCGCACTCTGAATGCGAACGCATTCCAGCGTCATTAATCATTCGCCGCATTTATATTTATATACACAATGTGTATCAAAATAAAATTTGTAGGAAATTTGTATACGATGCCGATAAAGTCGACATTCTACTTGACTGGACTGGACTTGAATGAATTAATTCTCTACATTTTAGCCCACGCTCTACAATCGCAGAAGATGAAAAAACTGAATGCCCACATTTCAAGCAATCAATCACTTTGATAGAATGGTGGCAAAATGGTGCGCGGAGAAAGTCGCAACTTGGTTGCAATGTGCATAATATGTAAATTTTAGATATAAATTATAATATTGCGCACATTGCATAATATTGGTTTTTATGCCTGAATGACTGACCAAATAGGTGAGCTGCGGTTGAGTGTTGAAATCATTAATTAAAAGCGCACAACGTTCATTCATTAAATTTTATTTTGTGTGTCTAACCGTGTGTGATATTAAGTTGGAAATTTTGTAACATTAAATGAGTGTGGAGCCCAAACAAGCTTGTAAGTTTTGATATTTTATGACAAAATCGAAACTAGTACAATAATGTCAATTAATATCAATGAAAGTGCAAATTCAGACAAAGTTCAATAAATGTGAGGACATATCTACTGTAGTTTTGAAAGTTTGAAAACTCAGTTTCACATCGAGAGACCACTTGAAAATTGATCAATTACTCGTCATTATTTGCGTCCATTATTAACATCTGTTTAATCTTGACATTGATGACATTCAAACTATCTCGTTTACAACCAAATACAGAATGTAATTTAACTGCTTTCTATTCGAGTTTTCCAGCTTATTATTTTATTATCTATCGGCTATTCAGTACATGACAATTATGGTAAATATTAAAAATTCAAATGTACGTTTGTGACACTTTCAAACATAAACTATTAAACACATTTTTATAAATTTTTATAAATCGTGATATTTTTGGGAAAGAAAAATAAAATAGTTTGATTTTTGTCACAAAAATATAACTGGTAGCGTGTAAAATAAGGCATGAAAGTTGATATAAAGATTCAATCATAGTTATAGTTCTAGAAATCGGATCAAGATGGCGGAAAAGCATATTATAAGCATTTCTCGTCATTTAAGATTAAATTTAAAATCTTAACGTCAAAAAATGACTAAAAATAGCTTTAAAAAACAACAAACAAATTAGTTAAGCAACTTTTAACTAAAATCAACGAAAAAAATAGAACTACATATTTTTATCAAGTTTAAAACATCGCAACGTCTAATTAAAACCCCCATATTTCTCAATTAAAGAAAAAACTAAAATTCTTCACGCAATTATTAATAAATCATCTAAACTAAACCGATATTAACCCGCATATGTTAGATGATAAGCTCGCCATAAATAAAAACATCTCGGCATTATAGATTTAGAGAAGATCAACTGATAGCGCTATTTTCGTACCGGTTGCGGTTGTGTCCCATGCAGAACCTCAATATATTGATTAATACCTTCATCGCGTCGGCACTTAACATCATCATCACCGAGAACGCAAGCAGTCAGTCAAGAGCGACACAAAAAAAGAAGTGCGGCTATAAATAAACATCGATAGACGCTTATTACAACATTATAAGCCTTAATGAAATTATTTTCGGAAGCATTCGCCGATCAAACAGCCGTTTATTATGGAAGTTAAGTGGAAGCAGACTAGACGCGAAACGTTATTATAAATAAAATCGAACTTTCAATGAGCCAGTTGAGCTATTTTTAATGTTCAAACACAATTTTCCGTGAAATCGTAGGAAGAATGTGTAAAATAAACTAAAAGTCGATGCATACTTCTTTGTTGGTCAA